AAAAACAAAAAAAGTGCTTTCTGGCTAACAGAAATCTTAACCAGCACCTGACGCGGTCTAAACTTGTTGCAACCCCGTCATCCCAGACGTGCCAGCCATCTCGGGGCGGTCTCTGAGTGAACAGTTGGTGCACCTGGGGCTTCAGGTGCCACAGGAGGAAAGGAGTGGGACATTACTTTCCAACGAGCAATGACGTAAGCCTACCAGTGCCTACCTTGTTCTGGAAACACCTAATCTCCACTTCCTCTATAAAGCTTAACTGTAACCTGCCTCCAATCCCAAACTGCAAACGATAGAAGAATTGCTCCCTTAAGCATTTCATGCCCATGGCCCTTCCTAAAGCCTTGTTCAATTCTGCACTCTGTGGGTCATTAAGAGAAGAGAGAAATTCAGGATGTCGATTTTCCCTTTAAGCTAATAATAACACAAAGGGAGCACGCCAGAGATTTGGGATTGTTTTGACTTCATAATTCAATGACAGAGACTAGGCCTGAGGTATCAAGTTGTGTAGGAAACAAAGTATCACAAGAGGAACAAGTAAGAACAGATGCCTTGGAAACTTTTCTCCAAAGAAAACCTTGGCTTCCTCCCACCTGGATAGTCAAGACAACATTAATAAGTATGCGCTCAGCGCATGGAGCCAGTTCTACATATCTGCATTGATCTGGTCAAGTGGACTGTTCTCCAACTTCATAACTATTGCATGCATGCAAAGGGAGTTTTTACGGGGAATGTTCTGGCCTATTCTTAATAATAAGGACTGCTGAGCTTCTTGCTTTAAGCTGACATCATAAAAGCCAGATAAAATCCAGTTCTCAGAGGTATTATTGAAATCCAGGAGCAGTTCAAAGATCCCTCTATTATATCTGACCTTGCTTTCTCTGTGTTTACATTGGATAAATGATAACCTCTAACATTCATTGAGCTGTTTTTTACATGTGCCATATTCTGTTCCAAGCACTTTAATATGATAACTCATTTAATCCTGAACAGCCCTGTGAATTAGTTACTATCATAATCCCCATTTTATAAATGTGAGGAACTGAGACACAACTAAACTAAATAATTTGCCTATGATTGCTCAGCTAGTACATGTCGAAACTAGCCAGTGTTTTGGTTTTAGTACCCATACTCTTAACCATTCACTGCACAGAGAAGAGTGGTATTAAACAGTGGTCCCTACTTGAGACACTGCTTGGAGCTGTTTTCTGAAAAAGTAGACAGGGATTAATTAAGCCATTAATTTGGTCAATCTAGACAGCCAATTTGACACAGAAAGACACTTATCCACCAAAAAGTTATTTTCTCTGAACTATCCAAGCGATTTAATGCATTTTTATATGTAGAATATTTTTAAAAATAAGAATATTGAAAATTGTTTCATTTCCAAAATCCTTTTGGCTGATTTTAAAAAAGTCTTTTCCCCCTTCCCCAAAATATAAGATTACATCGTCATTCTCAAAGAGCATTTGTTATATGCTATATATACTTCAGACCTGGGACAATAGGAACTCTTAATAGAGACACAATCTTTACTGTTAAGGACTCATCACCACCAGTTTAAACAGATGCCACCTGAAGAATGTGACCTCTTTTTCTCTCTACATTATCCCACCACTGCCGCAATCATCATTCCCTCCCTGATAGAATCATGGAGTGTCAGTAAAAAAAAGAAAAAAAGAAAAAGAAAAACCTTAGAAAGCATATCATTTACTCTCTGTGACTTTACAGATGAGAAAAAGAGACCTGCCCAAGCTTACAGACCATGCCCTGGCTGGAGCCCAGCACCCCTCACTCCCAGTGCCACCTCTTCTCCCAAACCCAACTGACCCTTGGCATTCATAAGGGCATTTTGACTAAGAGCACACTTCAAACAAAAAAGTTTCAACAACCCTTTTTTGACCCAAGATACATAAAGAAGGGGCTGTCTTACGCCTTTCTTCTTTTCAGATGTGTTCCTGGGATGTCTTCACCAGATGTTTACCCAAGAAATTACAGTCGCAGAGTCTTCGACATTTGTCGTGCATTTTAAAAGCAGCCTTTTAGATCTGAACCCAATGAATGATTTACTTTTCTTTTATAAAAAAAAAAGGGGGGGGTAGTTTGCCTGCAAGGGATCCGAGTCTGTACCGAGTCTGTGTTAACGTCACTCACTTTCACTCTGGGACGTGCTGGTCTCACAGTCTAGTTTTGTTCAGACTTTATTTTGCTCCGAGCTGCGTTACAAGCCACTCGTCCAGGCTGCAAAAGGTGGGGGTAGGGGGTTGGGATGACGGCTCTTCTGCTCCCCACCCTTCATATACGTGAAGCAATCTGGAATCATTCCGCTCTCTGTCTCTCACACACACACGCACACACGTGCACCATGCATGTGTGGGCGCCCATGGATCCGTGCATAGGCGCGTTTATGATTTAAAGTGACAGGACCAAGAGCTGGACTGAAGAAGTGACTTATTTTGCGTGATAAATCAACTTGATTGTCTCTACACTGTACTTCCATTATTCACCCGAGCGTTCGGTGGTTACCGCGGACGTGCCCTGCGGCAAAAATGTCCTCGGAGCCGCCGATTTTGCGGCCACTGCGGCGGCCGCGGGGGCGCGCGCCCCGATTGATTTTCCGAGCTCGCGTGTCCCCCGTGCAACTCGCGGAGCCCGAGCCGCGGCCGCAGAAGCCTGGCTGTGTGCGTGCGGACTGGGTCCCGTACCGGAGGGTTGTTTTTTTTTTTTACATACTTTTCTCTTTGGAGGGAGGAGCGGAGCAGGAGGTGTAGGAAGGGAGAGAAACCTTTTCTGTTTTATTTTCCTTTTATGCTCTTAAACAAAACAAAAAACAAAATGAAAATGGCCACCACTGCTTCCAGAGCACCGGGGGAGGCACACCCACCGTGGAAGACGGGAGATGACACCTAAAATCCCCTTTCTCCCCTCCGTCCTTCCCTCGTCCGCCCCCACCCGCAGCGCCCTCCGTCTGCTCTGCGGCAGCCGGGGAGGCACCCGCGCCGGGCATTTGTCCGCACTCCGGGTTTTTTCCTTCGGACAAGTGATCACCAATAATCCTTTTCTTTTAAAAACAACAACAACAACAAAAACTGGTCCCTTATTTATTTTTTCTGGTGTGGTTTTGCATTTTTGTAAAACTGTGTGCGGAATGTGTTTGGTTTTTCTTCTGCTGAAACGCAGCGAGGCAGCGCGGGTAGGAAGCAGGGCTGGGGGCGGGGGCCGCGCGTTCCAGACCCGCGGAGATCACCTGGGGCAGACGCAGCCCCGCGGTGACTGACACCTCTTTAGTTTTTTTAAGGAAGCCGGCTAATTAACAAATTAATGACCAGATGTGTATTGATGCCTGGGAGTTTTAAAAAAGCACATCCCGAATTTCCCTTTCACGTATTTATGACTGAATTGCTGTTCCCTGGAGTCGAGCACATGGATCATACCAGACTGATCATTTACATTCAAAATTTGGGATTCCAAAGACACAAGAGGCAGCTTTAGAGTCCCCCTTTGTTTGCGGGATAAAACCTGAGTGTTTTTCCAGGGATTGGGAAACCTTCGCCCATTCATAAAAGTGCCATTGACATATTTATTCTAGATTTTTACTTCTCCAGAACTGCCTACAAAGTTAGAGCCAAACTTGGAAGATAGTTGCAGTGTCGAACATAGTGTTGCATAATAATAATTTAAGCAACTGTGTCCTTGTTTAAGGTGATGTAACTTTCCCAAAGTTTGTCTGTAGCTTTAAAGAGTTTAAAAGCAGAGCTGATAGCAAATGCGTGGCCATCCTGAAGAAAGTGAGCAGGATTCAGCCCAGCCAGTGGGTTGGGCTCCCCTGTCCTCACCTTTATCTGCAATCCCAACCTGTAGATACCATGGGTGGGGTGGAAAACGACCCCATTTTCCTTTGAGGGAGTGGGAAGAAAGAGGCCAGGCTGATGACTTGACCACCTGATAAAGTCTGCCTGAATTGTTAGTGATATGAAAGAATACTTCTGTTCAAAGCAAATTCAAAAGCCAGATGCATTTAGTGTGGTGGAAATCCAACTCAGTTAAATGTGAACATAGAACATGGTTGAAATACAGCTTTTTTTAATGAGTATGTCTCGAGTAGTAAAAATGAGTGCAAATAAATTCAAAACTCGCCATGCCATTTGCTCCAACATTTAAAACATACTAAGTTGGGCATGTGTTTGGGCTGCTGTTTCACAGCCCATGATGTGTAGACAACGCACAACTTCCATGGTATAATGACTTGGAGATAGCAGGGTATTTCAGTTTAGTCATTAGGACTGAGACAAGTGAAAGCAGGTTAAAACCTCGGTCCACGGAGGGCGGATTCCCAACTCTGGGAAACCCACCTTCTCCCAGGCAACGATACCTTTACTGCCCCTGTTTCATAAAGACCCAGATCCCAGGCCTCAGTGTTGGGCCTAAGCCTGATTCATAACTATAAGAGATGATTTGGAAAGATATTCATAAATATATGAAAAATAACAAAGACACCTTTGTTGGTCATTAGGCAGGGCTCAAAACTTGGGAAACACTCCTCTAAAGTTGATCTGAATTGATATTTTTTGTGCTATCTTTTGTATAGCCATGATGTGCCATTTATAGACACTCTATTCAGGCAGGAAAGTTAGCATCCTAAAACTTTTGTGGTATCAAAGTTTTTTTAGGAAAAAAATCACAAATGAAGCCTTCTTATTACAGGAAAAGTTTAGTAAGTTTCTTAATGTGTTGCTGCTTTAGAACTAAAGTATCTAAATACTATGAACATTAATTAAGGTATTTTCTCAATTAATAAATTATGTTTTTATTTTTAAAGTAATATAAAATAGGATAGTAAAAAACAGAATTTCTTATGTTGGAATTATTCTATCAGTAAAGTACTTTTTTGTTTTCAATTTAGAATTGTTGTGTTAAATTTTCATATCACAAACTATGAAAGAGAGGCTTTTTTTTTCATTTCAAAACTAATTCAATTATTTTTATTTATAGCCCATGGAAGTCTATTACTATTGTACCTAGAATACTCATTAAGATAAATAGAATGTAACATTACACAACACAGTTTTTGAAAAGTTAAAGAAAATAAATTGAGCAAGTTGAAAGAACTGGAAAGACCAAGTAATAATGTCAAAACAATACAGTCACTTGTCACACTCTGGTTTGAGTCATTACTGACTTTCAAATTTACAAAAAAAAAAAAAAAAAACAGAAAAGGATGTTTCATAAGCTCTTCAGTGCTTTTCCAATGAAGAACATTTAACTTGGGAACAACAGGTGTTTGCAGCACTGTTATTATCTACCAAGAAAAACTCTCTGCTGGTTATGTTATAAAAAAAGATTTAAATAGTACAATATTTAAAATAGCACCTGATACATATAGGTATACATATATATATGTATATAGAGATATGTAGATATTGATATTACAATGACTCTGAATTATCTGTAATATAAAATTCAATTGTTCTCAAATTTTGACTTTGAGAAGCCAGATTGAACACTAATGGCTATATTTTTTACATATTGTGAACCAATTATCATATATATTATGTTTTTAGAATTTTCCCCATTATACTGTGATATCAGGATGCAGGGTTTCACGTGATCTGATGTTCAAATACAGACCTTCAAAAGACAATCCTGATGGGACGCATCAGGTCTGAAGGGAAAGCGGTGAGGCAGGTTGTGCTCATTATCTGGTGCGATGTCCACGTCACATGTCCTGTGTGTGTGCTGATTGGAGAAGGCTCTGCTGCTGGGGCCTCCTGGCAAATAAGGTGACTCCACCTTGTCTGGAGTCACTTGTCTCTTTGAGGACCCCTTATCTGTCCTGCATCCCCAAACCTAATATAGTGCCTAGCTCAGCAGCATTCAGTAAATGTTTTCCAGACTTGAATTTATTTGATGGTTCAATTTTTTTCTTAATTTTTGATAGTGAGTATAAACTTTGGAAGTTGATAGTGCTAGTATAAATACTTTGGCAGAAAACCAGTTGGGAGATTTTTGTTTCTATATGCTATCTCATGACAAATTAAAATGTATTTGATTTATTGTCAACTTTATAGCTCTTGGGAGAACCGGCAAGCTAATAGGAATAATGTTAAAACCAGAAATACCATTCTTTGCCTGCTTTCTTGAAAAACTACTTTTTAAAAATATATATACCAAAAGCATACCAAAGTACCTTACAAACTTTAAACTTTCAGCTCTCAGCCTGGCCTTGCTTGCAACAAACTGGCCAGGTCAAGCATCTTTGCCAAACTGAAGCACACTTTGTCATTTGTTCTCCTCACTCTCATTTTGGCTTTCTTTCCTTGGTGAACAGCAGTGGAAACTATGCCAAATGGCCAAATTTATTGAAGATAGAACCCACTCTTTTCAGCATTATTTTACTGAACATGGTATTAGTTAGTCAATGTCTGCAGTGAACCGAAGCATTATTCTTTCATATTAAAATGCAATATTTTTCCAAACAACTTGTTTCTGCAGTCAGGTGATCAAAGATAGAAACTAACTACTTTTCTTCACGTGTCCAAAGGATCAGGTGCTGCTTTCACAGGCACACAACCTGCTGCTGGAACACAGCTCGCGACTTCCAATTCTAAAACAGTAAGAGGTATATTAAAAAGGAAAGCAGCATCACAGCACAATTTTGGGATTTTTATAATACTCCATTATTTATATTAAAATACTATATAACATCAGAAATAGACTATATCCCAATTCAGAAAGAACTCCACTTCATCAAATATGAACCCTCTGAAGTTCTCTTATACAATAGAAGGTTAAGTGAACACATGATATTTATTTTTTAACATTGCAATTAAAGAGGTAATAATCGGCCCTGGCTGCTGTAGCTCAGTGGATTGAGCACAGGCCTGTGAACCACATGATCGCAGTTTGATTCCCAGTCAGGGCACAGGCCTGGGTTGCAGGCCAGTTCCCAGCAGGGGACTCATGAGAGGCAACCATACACTGATATTTCTCTCCTTCTCTCCTTCCCTTCCCTTCTAAAGATTAATAAATAAAATCTTTTAAAAAAAGGTAATAATCTCCACCCTGACTGGTGTGACTCAGTTGGTTGGGTATTGTCCAGCAAAGCAAAAGGACTCCAGTTAGATTCCTGGTCAGAGCACACACCTGAGTTGCTGGTTAGGTCCCCGGCCCCCTGGTTGGGGCGTGTACAAGAGGTAACAGATCAGTGTTTCTCTCCCCCCCTTTCTCTCTCCCTTCTCCTCTCTCTAGAAATAAATAAATAAAATCTTTTTAAAAAGAAAAGATGTAACAGTCTCCCATTACAACTTTTTCTTGCTGCAATGTCACAGTTGTAAAATACGAACTGGCAAACTAGTGACTTGAAAACATGAATACATTACCAACCATAGTGAGTAGTTTTCACGCCTTAGGGAAAATGGTGGCCAAATATTTTTCATTGTAAGACGTGCAGTGTAGCATTATTTAACCTGTTCCAGGTTAGGCAGTTGGGCTCTGGGACACCTTGACTAATTATCCTGCTTTCAAAGCAAAAGGAAAAACTGAGATAATAGAGTAGAAAAAAGGCAGGTTCCCTGTTTCGAACCCTACAATATGTTTTCTACACATGGTCAGAGTTCAATTTCTAAACAAAGACTGATCTTGCTACAACCTTCTTTAAGACCCTTCCATGAATCCTCATCAATGTCAGGATAATGTAAAATCTTAAAAATTGGTCCCGAGGCCCAGAGTGTTCTGACCTATATTTACTACTGCAGCATCATCCTGGTACCTGCTCTTCCACTAGCTTGTAGTCCATTTTATTTCTCCTTTCAACCATCACCCCAGATTTCTTTTTCCCCAACCACCCCACCTACCCCCCATAACTCTTATTTATCCTCGAGTAAAACCTGCTCTGACATTCAAAACCTTTCCAAAAGGAATGATTAAACCCATATACCAAAGGAAATAAGCAATATTATAGGCCTCTAGAATTTTAAAGGACCTTGAATAGCAACCAGTTTGAAGATATCATTTTTCAGATGAAGAAATCAACAGTGTTCTGATAATCAGGAGATTCTGAAGATTACACAATTAATAGCAGAATTGGGTTTAGAGTCCAAGATTACTGATACTCATGAAATCAACTCTGTAAGTGAAACAAGTAGTAAAGAATTTGTTCAATTTTTTTCTCTAAAGATAAACTAAGATTGCTATTTCCTCCTCAAAAAATTAAAAATAGAATTACCATATGAGCCAATATTTTCACTTCTGAATATAAACCAAAAGCATGGAAAGAAGGGACTCAAAACAGATATTTCTATACCGTGTTCTTAGCAGCACAATAGCCAAAAAGTAAAAGCAGCCCAAGTTTTCATCAATAAATAAACAGATAAATAAAATGTGGTTTATACATACAACAGAATGTTATTCAGCCTAAAACATGAAATTCTGGCACGTGCTACAATAGGCATGAACTTGAAGATGTTGAGCTGAGTGAAATAAGCCACTCACAAAAGGACAAACACTGAATGACTCCACTTATATCAGGTAAATGGTTTCTAGGGGAAAAGGAAATCGGAAATTATTATTTAATAGATATAAAGTTTCTGTTTCAAGGGTGAAGAGTTCTGAAGATTGTCCTGGCTGCTGTGGCTCAGAGGATTGAGCACTGTCCTGAGAACCAAAGGGTTACTTATTGGATTCCCAGTCAGGGCACAGGCCTAGGTTGTGGGCCAGGTGCCCCGTGGGGGACACATGAGAGGCAACCCCACACTGATGTGTCTCTCCCTCTCTTTCTCCCTCCCTTCCCCTCTCTAAAAATAAATAAATAACATCTTTTTAAAAAGTTCTGGAGCTTGGTCACGATGATGGTCACACAACAATGCAAATACACGTATTGTAATGCCACAGAACCATACATTTAATCATGGTTAAAATCACAAATGTCATATTATGTGTATTTTACCACAATAAAATAGTTGTTGTTGCCCTCAGGCATCTACCAGGACAGTGTCAGATCGTGCCCTCTCTCCCTACCCTGACCCACAAAGGCATTCTTTTCTTTTTCTGTAATGTTTTTGGTTGATGCATAATCCTGGTTCTTAGCTTAATAACTGGGCTTTGAGCCAAGCTACCCACTTGTTACTGTTGTGTATTCAACACAGCAACAACCTAACTCTACAACTTCCTTGCAGGACTTCCCTTTGCTGACCCCATTGTGAGTTGCCTTATGAAAGAGAGGTCAAGAGAGGCCGGCATGCTAAAGGACAGGGGCTGGAAAAGTGGGTCTGAACTCAAAGTGTCCACACCAAATTGGTTTCCCAGTTCCCATTTCTTTTCTCTTTGTACTATTTTTGGGGTGTGGGATGTGACCTTACGGTGAGTGTGAAAAACCTCAGGCTCAGAGGCAACAACCTCAACTAGTTCTTTCCCTTCTTTTTTGCTGATTTTCTGTACCTATAGACACTGATGTCAAGCTAGGTACATTGTAATTTAGCAGTATTAGGGGCACTCATATCGCTAGCTCAGGGCACCCAAGGTGTGGTGGAGGAGTTTCTAAAATACTCATGTTATAAAGATGCCATCTTCCCCATTCCCTCTGTCCCTGTGGAGGCTGAAATCTCATCCAGGGATTGAGTATGTGATTCAGTGAAGTTTAGTGGACTGTCCTCTTCCCATCGGCCCTGGTCCGCGTGGAGAAATGGCAGGGTGGCGGTGGTGGGAGGTTATGAGCTAAATTTTTTGAGACCTCTTAATGTCTGTGTTGCTTTTGAATAACTCTTTTTGAATTTGAATTTTATCATCATATTAATATTATATATTTGATAAGTTTTTACCTTTCCTTTTTAAAATTGATTGCTAAGAAACTCAAGGTCAAAATTATAAATCAACTCTAGAAGAGTACATAGGATCTCATTGTATATACTTTGGATACTAATCTTGGCCTTAATTTTACCTTATATCTTTCTTAATAGTGTCCTCTCTCAATAGATAGATTGATTGGTAGAAAGCTAGATAGCTAGATAGATATAGATATTTACATACTTAGTTATAGTTATCCTGCCTCTACTCAGAAAGCTCTTGGAATGAAGATTTGTGTGTGTATAGATGTAGGTAGGTAGGTAGGTAGACAGACAAACACATCTCTATTCTAAAACCTTTTTGAATAGAGGCAGGATAACTATGACTAAATAAATGTCCATATTCTTTTTTATGCGTTGTGTTATAAACAACTGTTGGTATAGGCCTTCGTAAGAATAAAAACCTAAATTTTGGACATTTCACAACCATGATTTCATTGAACGCTCACAAAACCTGAAGAAGTAAGCAGGACTGGTGATCTTTACATTTCACAGAGAAGGAAGTGGAGAAAGAGGTTGGACTGCCCAAGGCCACAAAAGCAGAGAACAAAGAACCTCCTGGGCTCACAGCTGTTGACACCAAGTCACAGTTCTAGGCTGTTGTTCTCACCCCCACCCTCATTTATTTTTCTGAAAATTATCCTCTCACCATCTGAACGCATTTGAGTAAATCTTTCAGGTACCAGCCTGGATTTTATAGCCCTCCCTTCAGTTTAGATAATTGACTGTTTTCTTTCTCCTATCAGATTCACTACCAGTATTTCTTCACTTTCCCAGGCCTCTTTACAACGTTGATACCAGAGAGAGTTATTCACTCCTTTCCCATTCCTGCAAAATATTCTTTGCATGATGTAATGAAACTGGCAGTGGGACTGGGGATTAATCCTTAACCAGCTGTGTGGCCATGAGCTGGCCACTTCGCTCTGCTATAGCTTCAGTTTTATCATCTGTAAAGTCTGGTGGATGGAGACGTCTGAGCTCCCTTTCCAATTCCTTCTGTGAACCGGAAGCTCAGACTGGGCTACTTTCACTTCAGTCTAGATACAGATTTCCTTTCTTTGGTCATCCTAGCAGCTCAGTTGTGTGATATTATCTTTGGTCTTCAGGAACTTCTGCAGTTTGTTGCGGTGTGTGTCCAAGATGAGAAGAATGGGTCTGGAGGTGGGGGAAACGGGGACTTTTCAATGGTGTAAAGTTTCAGCTATGCTAGATGAATACATTCTAGAGCCCTGCTGTACAACATAGTGCCTAGAGTTAACAATACAGTATTGTGCCCTTCGAGATTCGGTGAGAGGGCAGATCTCATGTTAAGTGTTCTTACCACAGTCAAAAGCCTGGGGTGGGGGCCAGAGAGAAGCTCAAAGGAAACTCTGGGAGGTGTTGGATGTATCTATTATGGTGAGAGTGTGGTTATGGTGCCATGAGTACTTGCATGTATCCAAACACATCAGGTTGTATACATTAAAAATGGGCAGCTCTCTGAATATCAGTTATACCTCAATAAGGCTGTTTCACAAAACTGATGGGTTCATGTATTTACACTTGACTCTCTATAGAGCAAGCTAACCATTAAAATGGCACATTAGCCCTGGCTGGTGTGGGTCAGTGGATTGAGCACCAGCCTGCGTATGGAGAGGTCACCAGTTCGTTTCCTGGTTGGGGCATGTGCCTGGGTTGCAGGCCAGGTCCCCCTATTGGCTTGGGGGCCTGCAAGAGGCAACAGATCAAATGCATCATATGTATCTCTCACACATGGAGGTTTCTCTCCCTCACTTTCTCCCTCCCTTCTTGTCTCTCTATAAATAAATAAATAAATAAATAAATAGTACTTTAAAAGATTTGAAGCCTGAACTCCTTTCTAAGCCAGACATCATAGCTAGAGCTTGGGACATTTCAGTCTCCTGAGCCTCAGTGTCCTCTGTGTGGTGAGTGTGACCATGCCTGACGCATCCATCCAGAAGGGAGGTTGAGGGTGTGACACGTGTGTAAGCTCTGTGAGAAGCAAACTCAATGCCCTCCTATTTACACTTAAAATTTCTTCTTACCGATAATGCCATGTCTTGCATCAGCCACACTCCTGGCCCGCTATTTCATCAGAGTACAAGGCTGGAAAAGGTAACCACTTGTTCGGCTGCCCTTTCACACATGAATTTACCAAACATCTACTGACGATTTACCATAGCATTTTCCTTATAGAAAGAAAAGGATGAAGGAAGTCACTGCACTCTCAAGGAGTTCATAGTCTAATAGACAAACATACAAATAAGTAACGGACAGACCACGTGAAGAAAGCTGTCCTAGCGACCAGAAGACTTTCGAAAGCACAGGAGGGACTGACCAATTCTGCCGGGGGAGTTGAGAAGTTGCATTCAACTGGTGCTTGGGAGAAAAAAAAGAGTGGAACACGGAGAAAACTTTAGGGACTTTGGGCAGAAGAAATCACCTAGACAAGGGAAGAGAGGGATGAACACATATGGTGTGTCCAGAAAATAATGGAAAGAGAAAAGTGACCTATTTAGTCTGGCTGGGATGAGAGAACAGCAGAGAGAAACTGGGCAGGAGGAGAGTCTGGAAAAGGAGACTGATAATAAAGTCAAATGTATCTTGTACCAAGTTGGGGAAAAATTCACAATTTTAGAGAAAGAACAATCCTAAGGTACCGGGAGATTGTCTTA